GATGGGTATTTTGAGCTGAAACTTTACAGACAATGTACTTTGATAATCAGAGATTTTTGTTTCAGTTGTGACAAAATAAATAAATATATAAAATATAAATTAACAAATAAATAAAACAAAACAAATTAATTAATTAAATAATATATTTTTGGCAACAGAATAATGATCTATTAGTTAATGCATTTACTAGCATTAACCAAGTATGAATAATCCTGTAAACAATTTTGTAGAGCTTGTTATTAATAAATAAATGAACAAACACATTTAAATCAAATAAATCAAAATGAAATAAATAAATGTATTTACTAACATGAAGTATAAATAATCTTGTAAAGCATTTATTAATCATAGTTCAAAATTTACTAATGCATTATTAACATCCAAAGTTGAGCATGTTAACATGAGCTAAAATTATTAACAAACGTTATTCGTTTTAAATAACATTAACAAATAACATCAATGTATAACTAATTGTTTATTCATATTAATAAATGCATTAAATAACAAATTCATGGACAATAATTTAATGTGTTACCATTTTTGTTGGTAACAAATTAAACGCAAATTAAGTGTCTATTGTATGGTTTATTCTATCTTTTGTGAAATCCTTAAATAAATCCTTTTAAAGACATCAAATGCCAGGTGGGATTTACTTTAAATTTAAAGTGCTCAGAGTTAACAGTAAATCTTTGTGTGAACAGGTTTTATGTACCTGAAAAAAAAGTGCTAAATCCAAAGTTAGCGCACAGATGTCGAAAAACCAAAAAAATCTGTAAACAAAACAGCTCAAAAGTCACTTTACAACAGTTTTGTGTGCACACAGTCTGAGGGAGCGCAACCTTTGCACGCAGGCTGTGATAAGTGTTGAACAACAGCTAAAAATCACCGTGACATGATCGAGATGCACAGGTGAGAGCTCTGCCAGCGGGCGACCCTGATACACTGTCAACTCTCTGATAAAAAAAAAAACCCTGAAAATCTCTAACAAGTGCAACCCATTCACTGAGAGACATTAGGAGCATCTAAAGATCCAGTCAGATATAATAAGCACATACAGTTGAAGTTATTGAAGTTATAAGCCTGTCTGTGAATTTTGTTTTCTTTTTTAAATATTTCCCAAACGATGATTAACAGAGCAAGGAAATTTTCACAGTATTTCCTATAATATTTTTTCTTCTGGAGAAAATCTTATTTGTTTTATTTTGGCTAGAATGAAAGCAGTTGTATTTTTAAACTATTTTAAGGTCGAAGATATTATTATTATTATCATTAGCAATATTATTTATTATTTGTTTTCAATTGTCTACAAAACAAACCACTGTTATACAATGACTTTCCTTATTACCTTAACTCTAGTTAAACCTTTAAATTGCATTTTAGGCTGAATACTAACATCTTGAAAAATATCTAGTAAAATATTATGTACACTACCTGACATAAGTCTTGTCATCGATTCTAATTGTAAGAGCAACAAATAATAACTTTACTTCTAGTTGATCATTTAGAAAAGTGGCAGAAGGTCGATTTTTCTAAAGAATCCTCGATTGATCTGCATCCCAATCATCACAAATACTGCAGAAGACCTATTGGAACCCGCATGGACCCAAGATTCTCACAGAAATCAGTCAAGTTTGGGGTTACATCCAGTATGGGGGCGTGCGAGAGATTTGCAGAGTGGATGGCAAGATCAACAGCCTGAGGTACATGTAACAGGACATTTGTGCTGCCCATTACATTATAAACCACAGGAGAGGGTAAATTATTCAGCAGGATAGCGCTCCTTCTCATACTTCATCCTCCACATCAAAGTTCCTGAAAGCAAAGAAGGTCAAGGTGCTCCAGGGTTGGCCAGACCAGTCACCAGACATGAACATTATTGAGCATGTCTCGAGTAAGATGAAGGAGGAGGCATTGAAGATGAATCCAAAGAATCTTTATGAACTGGGAGTCCTGCAAAAATGCTTTCTTTGCCATTCCAGATGACTTTATTAATAAGTTATTTTAGTCATTGCAGAGATGTATGGATGCAGTCCTCCAAGCTCATGGGAGTCAAACACAATAGTAATTCTTTTTTCACTGCACCATGAATTTATATTCTGGTACTGTCATTATGGCAAAGATAAAACAAATTAGTTATTAAAACTATTACGTTTAGAAATGAGTTTTTAAAAAATTATATCCGTTAAACAGAAATTAGGGGAAAAGACATACAGGAAGGCTAATAATTTTGACTTCAACTGTATATGTGTAAGTGTTTGGTCATGCAAATAATTACAGGACAAAAGAAAAGAGGATGGTGCGAATGACCACACAGGCCCGAATAACCCCTTTTGGTGGTCGACAGCTCTCTGGAATCCATTATGGCGCTTAATAGCTGTATTTAAAGTCACTGTGACTACCGCAGCCTTACAAGGCATCACAAAAAATGAAATAAATAAATAAACAAAAAAGAAAAAAGCAAGACCTGTCAGGATTAAAATTACCTTCCCATTACATTCTCAAATTACAACGTGTATTCTGCCTTTGTGCTGCTTTACGCTATTTTGGGTGCTTTTTTTGTTAAACAACGATTCTGTGAAATAGGCTGATATTGACTTCTTTTCAAAGCAAACTGAGGGAAGGAATAGGAGGACCAGGAGTGGTGGGGGGGGGACGCAATTGTCCACAACCTGCTGTTACGCCTTTGAATTGATGAGACGCAAAAGAAAGAAAACAAAATGGGATATGTCTGAGATTCGCAAGGCTCCAGCAGGAGTTCAGCTTGTTATGTTGCCAGCACAGTCATGCAGCACAGGCACAATAAGGCAAGGTGATGGAGCAACGCAAGCTTAATAGTCCTACTAAAAGCGTGCGATATGAACTCACATAAAATCATGTGTACGAGACAGGTGCTTTCTGCCGGGAAGATGATATCGGCATTGCAAATTACATCAGGGATGTGGCAGTGGAAAAATAATAATAAAGAAAAAAGATATGGGTTTAGTGCCATGACAAAACTGCACGTCCATATCTCAGCCCTAGAATGAAAATGAAGAACGGGTATGAAACGGAGTTTGCAGAGGCCTAAAGTTGACATTTACGGTTGTCTGGCAGGTCTAGTAAATCCAGTGGGAATCACATGATCAGAAAATAAATGTGAGGGCAAAATATTGAATTGCCACCACTGAAAGTGATACTGATATTTGGACAACTGATCTTTTTTGTCTGCTTTTCTCTACAATAACCTCTATGCACAGCTAGAGTTTTAAAGCCAACGTTAAACTTCCGGTAAATATGACTATTTTTAATTTTTACAAGGTTGTTTTTAAAGCAACGATGTTATAATGTAATTACAATACATTCAGTTAAACAGACTTAAGCATTTATTTAGCTGTTCAAGCGTAAAACAAGCTGAAAGATCGTTCTAACCACAAGTGCCATCAGTAGCAACAGGCTAGCACAGAAACTCCATAGAAAACACTGGGGTAAAATAAAATGTCATGTTTTAAATAAATGGCGGGTGGAAATGGAATTCAATGCAGTGCTTCTTGTCCGGTCTGAGACCCACTTCATATTGTATATCTAACAGGCAGTGAAGATCACTGATCAGATCTTAAACGTGACAGTTTTGTAATGGCCAGGAAGCCGTTGGGCTGACTGACTAAAAGTTAAAAGTCTGTGTGAATATAGCCCATTGAATATGAAACACTTTAAGAAACAAATAAAGGAGGCAAAAAAATTAATGACCGTTTTCTACTTAACATTAAATTATAAAAGAGATAGCATTGGTTTGAGCAAACAAATGTTCTTTTGAAGACTCTACGGTGTATGTGGTTGTTTATTTAATTTTTATTTTTATTTCATAGTGGTCTGTTCCTGTTTTTTTTTTTTTTTTTGGCAATATTTGGTGTTATATTTTGTAGTATTTCCTTGTTATATTCTGTTTTCTATCATTTGTGATCCAATATTATGGTTTGTTTTTGTATTTTCTCTTTGAATATCTAAGTTGTGTCTTTATTAATGTGTTTTATTTTGTCTTTTTTTTTTTTTGTCTTGTGAGATAGTATAGATCATGTGACGCGAAAGCGTACTCCTTACTGTGATGAACACTGTCTGATGAAGAGCCTGGTGCTTGAAACGTTACATGCTTTGTGTGAGTCTTTTTAATTCAATAAATTTGCATTTTTAGAGCTTTGGTGTTGCCGCCTTTTTGAATATATTGTTTAAATTCAGTCCAAATAAATTGTTTACAACCACTTAACTTACAATATTGAGTAAATGCAAGGGATCATCTTTAAATCTTTTTTTTTTTCAGTGTAGAAGTTGGGTTTAGGTATTGGGTAGGATTAAGGATGTAGAATAAAATCATACTTTAAAAGTACTAATAAACAGCTAGTAGTTAACAGCACAAATTGGGATTTAAACTAAAATGCTACCCAACCAGTGTATAAACTCACTTAAATGCTATAAAATGGGTTCGTTTAACAGCTTGGATGTTTGCTATTGTGTAAATGTCATTAATTCAGCTTTTCTAAGTGTTTACAGCTCCGTTTCTCTTATAGTGTCACTTGCATCCATACTGACATTGTCTCAGCTATAAAACAAACTCCATGTTCCTTCCGCTTTATCACAGCTGGCAAGCTAACCCGTACTAGTATGATTGATAGGCTGTATAGTGCCTTGGTTAAGAAACAGGAGGCACAAAAAACGAATGACTCTTTCCTCCTATACTTAGCACTAAATTATAAAAGAGAAAGCATAGGTGTATGCTTTACACCGGTGTATGTGGTTGTTTATTTTGGGTTTGTTTTAAGTAACACCGGTCTGTTCCCAGCTGAGCGTTCTGATCAAATCTACTCATGCGTAACATTCATAAGTAATATAATCACAGTTGGCTGCAACGAAAGAGAAAAAGCAACATTTCAAACTGCCTTTAAAAAAAAACTGAATCAATATTTGATGAAGGTTACTAACTTCCATATTAAAAAATAAAGTCTGCTGGAAAGCACAGAGGTTCTCACCGATCTGTTTACGGTACTGATCGACCGGCAACTTGACAGAACTTGCATCCTTTTTCCCCATCCTTCATTCACCTGACAGAGAAACAGAATGAAAAACACACAGAGTATGAGGAAAGTGAGTACAAGTAATGAACGATAGTAAGAGTTCTGCGTCTGATTGTACACGGGAATCAAATGTAAACCGTACAGTTGAAGTCAGAATTATTACCCTCCCTTGAATTATTAGCCCCCTGTTTATTTTATTAAATTTTTTTAAATTTCTGTTTAACGGAAAGAAGAATTTTTTCAACATGTTTTAAAACATAACAGTTTTAATATTTCCTTTTTAAAAAACGATTTATTTTATTTTTGCCATGATATATATATATATATTTAAAATGGTTTTTAAAAAATTAAAAAAATGCTTTTATTCTAGCCAAAATAAAAAAAATAAGACTTTCGCTAGAGGAAAAAATATTATTAGACATACTATGAAAATTTCATTGCTCTGTTAAACATCATTTGCGAAAAAAATAAAAAAATAAAATCAAAGGGTGGCTAACAATTCTGACTTCAGCTGTACTCTACAAATGTCTGTGGAAAATACTTGTTATTTTCCAGTTTCCTGTAGTTTGTTTGTTTAAACTTTATTGTCACCAAAGGGGAAATTTGTATTGGACCATAGACCCACATTTGCAAACACGGAACGAAAAACAGACGACACAACAATTCCATCATGAACATAAATATTACATATTTTTTAAAAAAAGTCTAATTAACGCAGGTAAAAAAGATTTCTTAAAACGATTATATCTGGTTTGGAACGTTTGGATTGTAAGCCAGAAGGCAGTAAATCATACTCACAAAATAAACTATTTTTAAATATTTAAACCCTCCTGTCATGCTCACATCTCGCCCCTTACTTTAGTGTTCCTGGTCTGTTTTAACTGCTTTTAAATTAGCACAAAAATCATTTTGCTCGACCAAATTTGTTTTCAACATTCTTTAGCTGCGAACAATGTCTTAAAGTAGTGTTTAACATGAATATATAGAATTAGACATAAAATAACTGCAGTGAAAAAATTCAAACAGGCCATAAAAATGCATAACAAAATGAACAATAGATGACAGAAATCAAAATACTTTGTTCCACTACCAATAGACAGCTCACTAAAATATCTATCACAGGGTCTGACCAAAGAAATTAACATTTTAATCCATTTATCAACCAGCAAAGCACAAACAAAATGGTATCCATTCCTGTGTGCTCAAATTTTAGTTCAGTCCTCAAATTGCACTATATTAGTGTACTATGTAGGGGATATTAAATGAGGTTATAGACCGTGATTAAGGACTAATCTAATAAAATAATAGATGCTAAGCTAAGCTAAAAATGCTCCTCCTAGACCCAGAGATTGATATAAATTTGTTCAGTCTGATGGGTGAATATAGTCTGGATACCCAGTCATTTCCTGTGGTGGTCACTTTTGACCGGGAACAGCACAAGTGTAAAAAGGTTTATTAAAACTCAAAATTTAATGAAAGAGGTGATTCTCACTTTTCATGTTCAAGAGCATAGTGTGGAGGATATCATTAGGCCTTGAGGTAGTCAGATGTAAAACACAATATTTATGAGAGTTTTAAGTAGTTAATCGGTCAGATTTAACCCAAACACGACAGGAAGGTTAATAGAGATATTGAAAAGTTGATGTTGAAAAGTTTAACAAAGTTACTTTTTTAAACATTTATAGAAGTATTAAGTTATATATTGTCTGGTTTGGTTATGTATTAGGTTATGCATTTTTTTTATTCTAGATTTACTTATCTTTATTTATTATAAAACACATTTGTTAAAATTGTTAAAAACATCAATTTGGAGTCACTTTGTTAAATTGTAAAGTTATCATTTTCCCAAGATGATAAAGCAGAGCTTAATGTCCCAGAACTGAATTAGAAAGCATAAAATAGTTAGCAGTTAATAACAGTTAATAAATAAACAGATAAAAATGAAATAAATTATGCTTTATGGTTTTCTGTGACGTATCCGGGTACTGAAATTTCATAAATATAAAATAACACTATAGTCTTTAAAATAAAATAAAATAAAATATAGTCTTTAATGTATAAATAATTAAATAACTGTTAAGAGCTTCAAGCTTTAAAATTTACTATAAAGAACTTCATAATTTCCCAGTACTGGGTTGCGACTGAAAGTACATCTGTTGCATAAAATATACCGGAATAGTTGGCGGTTCTTTCCACTGTGGCGACCTCTGATAAATAAGGGACTAAGCTGAAGGAAAATGAACGATATTTCATAATACTTTAAAGTCACTTGAAATGCTTCCTTAAAACATGTGCATCTTTCATTATTAAACATTGCAATAATGCCTGAACTGCTGTGCCTGGTTATTATATTTTCAATCTAACATCGCAGATCCTGCAATCTGATTATTGCAGGTTCACACATTGGAATATCGATGATGAAATGATATATTGTGCAGCCCTAAAAGGGATTCACCAATATGGAATTTGACAACATTAATAACCAATAACTCTTTAGATTTGGAGACCGATAGCCAACAAATAGCCTGAGCAATACTTTTTTTTTCATTTTCTCTGCATGATTGCAAAAACAAATGATTTTTAAACAAAAAGAAGCATCTTTTCATACAACAGTCGGTTTCTCTTTTTTTATGATGAAAAACTCGCACACTGCTGACATCTTAGTTGTCTGTTTTGTATTATATCACAGAGACAACGATAAAAACTCTAGTGGCTGGAGCAAGCACGTGAAATGCTTCATCCAACAACAAAATTTCTTAATTTTTTTAATGATTAAAACACTATATTTCCAACACACAAAAGGAGCATCATAATACCAAAGCTCATTCAAATGTACACAAATAACTTTGTTTTACCACCTAGATGTAACATTGCAATTCAACACTATGAAAATGTATTTGCCATCTTTTTTAATTACCGAAAACTTCATAACTAAATATTAATGATTTGTACAATGACTAATTTAACAAAAGAACTGACAATTTTGCAACATTTACTTCAAAGATTTAAGTACAAGAACATTTTTCTATAAAAGAGAAAGTCTGAGCAAAATGGAGCTCTTTTGAAAACCGTTTAGCTGTTTTTCCCCTTCTTGTTCCCTTTTTTTTTCAGGTTGTGACCCAGCAGTTGGGAACCGCAGCCTTTCCTGCCCTTTCAGAGTTCAGCATCACATCCTAAATTGCTGCAAAAGTCATGGGTGATTGTGTAAGACGGAAAGCATCTTGAAGTTAGAAAGAGGAATGGATGTGAGGCACATCCCCAGAGGTGGCGGGAGACTTCAAGGAATTCAATCATGCGAAAGTCGATGCGAGACAAAGTCTATTTGAAAGTCTTCCCATGCCTGCAAACCACCATTACGCTAGTGAATTTGTGTTGAATTGCTCTACAGTGAATTCATCTGGTCAGGAACACATTTGAAATTAAATCACTTGTGTGGGATGTACAATGTGAAACATCTAGGTGATGATTAAGAAAATTTTACTTCGCTGCTTTAACACAATCTTCATTGTTAAAAAAAAGCTGTAGAAATATAGATGCTATTTGTTCGTATTGGTTGAATTGAACATTAGGTCAATTAATAAGAACAATGCCCAGAATAGGACTGCATGACTGGAATAAAAACAAACTGAGTTTTTATTTGAATTGTTTTTTTTTTGTTATTTATCTTTTGGGTTGATGTCCCTCGAGTGTCTGGAGGGGGTCATATTGAACATCTATGAACTTGTTTTCTACTGAAAAATTTTTTAAAGTAATCTTCACATTGATTACCTGTAATTACCCAAGGTTTTATCTTTGATTAAATACAGATTTCCAAAGTTGTGGTATTCTTTTTGTATATTGTGATATGAAAGCACCAGATGACTTGAGTAGCTCTTTGTGGAAAGAGTTCATTATTTTGAAAAGATTCGGATGATTTTGTAGGGCAGTACATCTGTATAAAATAAAACAAATTACAACATAAGAGGTCAAAATTAAATCAACAATGCTTAATATTTTAGTCTAACAGCATTTACTGTAGAAATTAAATAATCAAATGTAAAATAACAAAAAAATCTTTACCATATAAATTGAATACAGTCAATCTTTGTCATGCCTACTGTGTAAACTTCACTGCAAAAAAATATCCGCAAATTAGCAGTTTTCCATATTTTATGATTTCTTTTTTTTTATTTTACCCTGTTTATTTGTGCATTTGGGTTGCATTTTGGGACATTGACCTTTATTCCAACAACTTTTAAACTTGCAAAAATTCAAAAAAGTGACTTTTATTAACATTTTTAATAGTTTAAACTTTAAAGTAATGTAATGTCTGGGTTGGTGTTGTATATTATGGTACAGAAACCTTGTAATAAATTTGGCACTGCATTTTCTGTTATTTTACATACTTTTATATTTATATTTCGATACAATTACATTTGAAATTATAGATCTACACATTTTTCACTATTTGACATTTCTGATTAAAATAATAACAACATAAATTAAAACATTGCAATTGATTTAAGCACTTGGACTATTGTATGGAAAGGCAACGTTGATATTTGTTTGAGGATAGGTAATCTCATTTTTTTATACCTGCCAGAAGCATGGTATTTTAGCGTACTTCACACCACATGCCATTTTACAGGCTGAACTGGTCTGGATTTGTCATAAAAGGTAAAATGGTCTGATATTTTAGGAAACTATAATTAACTTCAGGAGAGTCTGCACAGATCATTAAATATATGATATTTCATTTCCTGTGTTATAATTTTTCTGTATGCTGGTCAGAACACATGACTGATTAAGCAGGGAAAGCTTTTTGCAATAGTAGTAAGTAATAAAGCTGTTCTTTTAATATACATATATTTCAATTAACGAATTTACAGGAATGACCTCATTACAGTAAACAAGTTATTACATGTATGAATTGCATATTTTAAAGCTTCTGAGAAAATATTTGAAGTCACATGCCCAATACTTTAGTGTTGTATTTCCAGAGTCACACCACATGCTATTTTACATAACAAACTAATCTGGAAGTTTTC